AAAGGAAACCCCACTACAACCGACCAAACTCTGGGATATGTATATCATATAAATATAAACAGAATTTGAAAATGTACATTTTCTAGAAAACTATATTTGAAAATGTCAGGATCAACCTCTGTGTGAGGACTAGACAATAATGTGTTCACAACATCAGATAAGGCCATGTAGTGTAATGCTGTCTCATATTGTCTGATTTGCCAAGTTGAACCTACAAACGTAAAAAGTTCAACATGTTTCAGTTAGATTCAATTGAATTCAATAAATGTTTTCAAAGGTCAAAAAATTGACTGGGTTATATTCTGATCAGCTTGTAACCCTCCAGCCAGTTTCATTGACTAACCCCTGATCTGATCTAAACACCTGATGATTCAGGGTAAACTTGGGTAATGTGGGACACCTGAGCTCCAGTCTATTTCACTTTCTAACAAAATCTAGTCAACAGGACATTTACTATATGTTAGCATGGATACCATGTGACTGAAATTACATGACTTCATGGGGTAGATTTTACAGATAGGGGCTGGGGCAAATGTCAATCAGAGGTCTCCCCTTGGAATTGCATGACATAGGATTCTGACAAGATTAATGTTAAGGATATAAAATTAAGTGTCATAAAATACTCAATGATCGTGATTGTTATCACAAACGTTATCACAAAGTATGTTTGTGATGTAATCAAGCAACAAAATATGCATTGAGTTGTATAATATGTTTGTTTTTTCGGATATTTTTTGGTTGTATGAAAACATAATTGTTAATGTGGGACACAAACATATGACATTTCTATAATTAATATACATTTTCTTATTCATTTTGTCAGTTATTTTTTCCATAATGTTTAAAAATGGGTAATATTGAGCTTGACTTGCATAAAGGAAGGTGATTTAGGCTTCTTTTTAAAGCCAAATAAAATTGTCATGCAGAATTTTCCATTTTGGCACAAGGAACTCTAAAAGCTGTGCCATGTCTCCTATGAGTTTGATATCTCCATTCTTTCTTCTGGTCTGGTTATAAAACATCTTAAGGTATAATATGTTGATATAATGTATGAAACAGATATCAGAAAAAGCAGTGTTGTGCATGAACGAGTACAATGAACAGCGTTCAATGAACAGCGTTCAATGAACAGCGTTCAATGAACAGCGTTCAATGAACAGCGTTCAATGAACATGTTCATATTTTTGGTGAATGCTGAACCGAACTAATCAGTTTACAAATGATGAATGTTCACTTTCATTTACGACCAGCATGGCTTGTGTTAGTGGTACAGACGAAAAATTAAGGGAACACTTAAATCACACATAGAATCTCAATTAACAAAATATTCATATTGATCATCTATATCTATATACATTGTGTAATACATTGAAAACAAAATAATGTAAGGGTCAATGGAAACCAAAACCATTTTCCCCTTGAGGGCTGGATTCAAAATTACAACAAAATCAAAGTAAAAAAAAAATCCCAGACTGATCCAACTTGGCTGAATTTTCGTCACAACAACTTGTAAGGTTGTTCAGTAGTGTGTATCGCCACCATGTGCCTGTATGCAATCCACTGTGGTGCTACTTGGCAGCAAGTGATACACTGATACATAATTTCCCAGACATTCTCAAGTGGATTTAGGTCAGGGGAACATGAGGGTCAGTCAATGAGGGTCAGTCAATGGAACTGCCTACACCCTCTGGACACATAAGGCCGGCCATTGTCCTGCACCAGGAGGAATCCGGGGCCCACTGCTCTGAGGATTTCATCCTGGTACCTAACAGCAGTCAGGGTACTGTTGGCTATGACATGGAGGTCTGTGCGACCCTCCAAGGATGTGCCTCCCTAGACTATCAATACATTGTGCAGCCCAAAACTGTTTGACATAAATCAGCGTTAAGTAGGACTTCAGTGCAGATCCATATATTTTGGAATCAGTTTAACACTATGTGTTGGGGAGAAAATGAGCATAAGGAGGTATTTAATTCTAATCCTGCCAGTTTGGAATTGGTGGTTTGCTTGGCCTGTAGTAAAGTTGGTTGCAGCTTTCTTTCTGAAACTGTAAAAGTTACTTGCAGTAATTTGAGAGACTCATTCCACAGAACCCTGAAGCCACCACTGCTGCACAGAGCTGTCTGCCTTTATATTTAAAGTTCAGTGAAGCTAAACTAAGTATGCAGGACCCAGAACTGGAGAATCAGCTTGTCATGAACAAGCCTTTTGTATTGATCGACAACAAATCCATCACTTGTCATGTATATACAAAGTGTATTACTGAATGTGTTGTGTGTCCAAATTGAAATAAATTCAATAATGCACTTCTTTGAGTCTGACAATACACATGTCAACTGAGAAGCCAATGAGAACTGTTGTCAAGATATTTGAAAACAAAGAAGAAAATAGGCTGTCTTATAATCAGGGTCATCTAATGCCAAGTTACTTTGTTGATACATTTCCTAACCGAGCTTTCAGGGTCTAAATCTAGCCTCCTCTGCTCTCTCCCTTATCCCTCATTAGAGCTCACAGACTGTAGTCAGTTCCTGACATTTATTGGCTGCTAGACAGTCAGCCAGTGAGTTGTTTGCTAGACCTAAGACAGGAAAACGAACAGTTTAATTAGTTTTTCTTCACTTTGTTGATTGAAAGTAGAACCACTGTGCATTCATT